ATAATTACAATAATAACAATAATAACAATAATAACAATAATAACAATAATAACAATAATAACAATAACAGCCCCGTGCCGCAGCCCCGTGCCCCGTGCCGCTTGAGGCAGCCGTCCTCTGCGACGAGAAGACTGCAGGTTCGAGTCCTGCGTAGACATGGTCGTATTTGTGATTGTCCCTTCCCCCCTCATCATTCTATCGTCACATAATTCACACTTCAAGCCATAACAATCTTGTCGTACTGAGGGATACAGCTGGTAAGCTCATCCTGGAGAAATTATGCATGTTGATCGTGTAGCGTGGTCAGTAATAGCCTATACACCAATAATAACGAAGTACAGGAAGAACATTTTGTTTTATCAATCGCATGATGTGCGCGGTTAGGTGGAATTGACCCTTGCTATCCGCACCAACGCTCGAAATCGTCAATAAGTTTAGAAACATATTTTCTACAAGAAAAATGGACATTTTTACTTCACTTCTGAGATTCATTTCACCCCTCAATTAAAACGACAGAATATTTTTAATACCCAGAACACCTCTTATGAAAATTCTCAGATTAAAACGGGAAATCCTTTCAAGGTCACGCTGGCAGGAGAGGAGGAGGCTGTCCTGAAATCGCGAGCTTTGTTTCGACTAAAATGTTTGGTACTGCAGCTCCCGACTGGATGACAGTATCCTCCGTTCTTTTCGACTCGTGACCTTGAAAGGACATCGTGTTTTAATCGAAGCATAGATTCCAAATTTTTAAGATTCACCCCCCCCCTCCCCCACCCTTCTCGGCGAGTCGCACGACTCCACGGCGGCGCTGGCGGCGTCCGCTTCTCACGGCGCCCAGTGGAGCGGCGGCGGCGGCAATGGCGGCGAGCAGTGCATTTGCTGCTTTATTTTGTGCCCCATTTCCCAAATGCCCGCGCCGCGGAGACGTCGGCGGCCGTTTGAAGGCGCGCGATGCGCCCAGATAAGCCACACGCGTCGCCGCGCATCTCGTCCGCCACCCTGTCGCCCCCGCCCCCGCCTCCGCCCTGGCTCTGCGACCGTCCCCGCGCGCCGGCGAGTCGTCGCTGCCACCGGGTGGAGCGCGGAGGTCGCTTCGTTTTCTCATGAGCCACTCGGCGACGCGAGGGCGTGGGTTGTGGGAGTACAGTTCGAGCAGCTTTATCGTTGTCTTCGCGGTGTGTCTGATTCGGAGGTCCTAGGTTCGAGTCCCGAAGATGGCGGGTTTTCGACACCACTAGCTACATATCTGGGTCGACTTCAATCGCTGTCTGGCGAAATCTAACGGCAAGTTGCTCTGATCGGTACATTTCGTGGTTTCTCCGATCAATACCTGCCGAATGCCGGAGCAGTACCTTAATAAACGGACTAGAACCGCATTAATTGCTTCATTTGCTTCCCTGCCCTATCGTCTCCTCTTACACAGTCTTACATGCACTAACTATCCTTCACATGTCGAGAACATAGAACGTGATCCAGATAGAGCTGTGCCCCGCTGGAGGCGTTACCTGAAAACCTTTTACGTGGCGAAAATTGTAAAATGTGTGTGATCATTGAAGACAGTTCATGTTAAAACACCCAAGAAAAATACTCTTTCAAACGATGTTTATATTTGTATGAATATTTTCATTTTAAGAATTGTATGTGTGATAGTATAGTTAACACAGTGAGGAAAAGGCTTCGTCTCGTGCACCGATCTTATTAGTCTAATATTTTACGAGTGTGTCGTATGGTTCTCCATGTTTCTTTGATTGTTGGTTTGTAGTGAACTGCTAATATGTGTGTTGTACTGGCAAACATCCTCTCCACGAGGTTTTTTTTTTCTTTCCCCTTTTATCTGTGGTTTCTAGTATCGGTTGTTGTCGCATTTCTTCGTACATATTAATGATAGCTTTCGATCAGTGAAGAGTTGAATCCGAATGGAGATGTAATGTACATGTTTAAATTCAATTGGTGTTGATCTCTCCGTGCCGAATGAGTCGAGGAGCAAGGTCATATGTGTACTTGCAGCCGGGCCTCCCGGAAGGTTAGCGGGGCGCGGCGGAGGCGGCTGGGCCAGTGGGCAGCGTTGTTTGTCCGACGCCCATCCTCGGCGCTGGCCCAGGAGGAGGGGCTCCACTCTCGGAGCATGACCCGCGCCCCCGCGTCGTTCCCACCCCTCCCGCGCTCCCCGCTACCCGCTCCTCGCCCCGCGCCCTCCTCCACTCGCATAGAGGTGACCTGCGCTACCAACTGTGGCAAACAAAATAACAAGTGGCCTCGCGCCCCGAGCCACGCGGCCGGGAGATGTCGACAACCACACAACACATTAGTATATATATATTATATATATAATAGTTATATTATATATACAACATTATTTCTTTAAATAATTCGTAATTTATCTACCATAGATAAAATTCAATAAATCAATTGTGCTAATTATAGACCCGTAACAACAAAAACTCTAGGCCGTTAGGGGATCGCCACACTGTCACGTGTCTCCCCTTGCGCACGTACATAAGATATCATCACAGCAACCGCCATAGTCAACTGCGTCACCTCCCTGATCCGCCTCGGCCGCCCCGTATGTTCCGGGCGGCGGTGTTAACATTGTCCCCATCTGCCTTCACTTATTTCGCCCCATCACCCGTTGGCGCTTAGCCCACCCACTCCCCACCCATGACTTCATCATCA